CCCAGTGGCAGCTCTGAGGACCATGCAGCAACATAGTAGAAGGGTGAGACACTTTCACTTTTTTGTCAACACTAGCAACATACTCCAACTTGGTTTCTGGACATCCCTTCCTCCCTGCTAATGACTGCTACGGCAACCATCTCCAATGCTCTCCCTCACCTTCCCCTTGCCTCCAGTCTGAATCTCTGTATAAGGCTCCTCTTTGTCCACTTGAATATCCCTTCTCTCTTCCTCCCATTTCTCATTCCAGTGCTCCTTACTAACTCAACTCATCACCTGCACTTGGACCTAACATGCTATTTACCAACCATTCTTTGGTTTGGGTGCTACATTCACCCTGGGTCTGCTTGTCCATATGGACTGTGAGCTTTTCAGACCAAAGTCATTATTATTATTATTATCATTATCATCCATTGCAAGTAATGCTATGAACTAGAGTCATCTAGCATATTATTGTCACTTCTTAAAGTATATTTTAAAATATACTGGTGAAAGAAAAAAGAACAAGGAACTCACTGGCAGCCTTTCCATTGACTTCAGTGGACTTTATATATGGGGAGGGTATGTGTATGTGTGTTGAGATGGAGGGGGGTCTTCTGTAGCAGATGGCCAGGGAAGGTGGCAAAGGTGATTGCTCAAGACTGAAAAGGGAACACAGACTTGAGCATTCATGTGGTTTTTTTCAGTCTTGAAAGAATAAAATATTTTGAATTATTAAAAGAAACAAGCAAACTAGGAGGCTGGACAGGATGGGAGTGAACAGTAATCTGCTATTCCCGTAGGCAACTGTTTTGGTTTTGTGAAGAGAATGGATCAAGAGATCCAAAAATGACTTACTGTGCAGTCATTTAGTACTTGCATAAACAAGCGTAAGTATAAACAAGTACTTATGTAAACTCGGATTACTGCGCAGTAGCATCAAAGAACAGCTTTTTTGTGACTGACTGTGCAGTAGCCCAAGACTACTGCGCAGTAGCATCATGTTGCAGGTGCTGCCATGTGACGCTACTGTACAGTAGTCTCAGGCTGCTGCAAAGTCAGCATTTTGTGTAGATGCAGCCAACTTCTGGGACCAAGAGCTATCATCAAGTCTGCCCATATATAGGATGTGTATACATTGTTAGCATGTTAGCTACGTGCATACAGCTTAGGGATTGGAGGTAGCAAACTGGAAATCACAGGAGAGCGTTTGGTGCATGCTCACTGCTAATGTACAGTGTAATATTTTATGGAACACTCCATTTATGCCTATGATATTTAAAAAACAGCAAAAGCAAAAATTTTAGCTAGAACTTGGGAAAAATCTATTTGGCACAATGTGGAGGTAGAAGGCAAAAGAAATTGCTACTGTTAATGGTTAATGTTAGTTTCTTCCTGTTCCACTTTCTATAAACATGGTAATGCCTATACAAGCTCATTACTGTAAACTGAGCACATTTAAATTGGCAGTTAAATCAGAGTATTTACTCTAGTGCACATATAAAGTACCTCGTCCAATGTTTTGGAACAGTTTCAAGTCTTGAAATCCAGCAGCTGGCGGCTTTACAAGCAAAACCTTACACTTAAATAACTCACTTTTGAAAGTTTTAGGTGTTCTGTGTCAGGTAGTACCATTCAGCAGACATTCATACCACCAAGGCTCAGATTCTTTTGCAATAAATTTGCATTCACTGGGGCTTTTATAACTCTTCCAGCACTACTGACTCCAATGGCTGTTGATTAAATGTATATATCCTGTACATTTAATCTGACTTTCATTATGGCCACTTCGTAAAAATGCCATAGAATGGACAAGCGATGACACATTGCAAGAACAAGGAATCCCTGCAAAGCCTCAGATTGGGTTTTTTTCTTTCCTTATTTATAGTGACCATTGTAGTGGCTCACTCTAAATCAGGAAAAATATTTGACAGCAAAGGTTCCTATCTATGGATTATATATAACCCATCCTAAACACCAGATGAAAAAAGGGATAACCCTAGGAAAAAAAGGGCTTGCTTCCATGTAAATCATGCTACAAATTGGACAACACCCAGTGAGTTCATTGTTCAGCCTCAATTGTGAAGGCTATTCACATTTACTATTCCCCTGGAATCAATGTTAATTAAGGCTGACTGAGGCCATAAATCAGCCTTTGGTTTTTACAACTTAATTCAGCATTAAGCATATATATTTAAATAAAAGGTAACTGATTAACCACTTGAGTTTTCCAGGAGTTGCTGAGGTAATTTGTTTTTCTTTGAGCCCTAGTGTTACCTTTTGTGGTTTGCAGCAGGGAAAAGAAAAAGTATACAGTCATGTATTTGCTATGTGGTATTGTGAGCAGTTAAGTAATCTGGCCCATTGGGTGCTGTCAATGAAACTGCCAAATTAGGGGAAGAATACTTGAGAATTTTGGAAGTAACACTGAGTGTTGGAGTTTGCCACCTACCCTCATATAAATGGAAAACACCAGTAATATCAGACCAGAAAGAGAAAATGCAAGTTCTCCTTTTTACTGTGGTCCCTGTCAAACAGCCCACCAGTGTACCCAGTACAATTAGCTGACAGATGCTATATTTGGATATCAAATATATTTGGATATCAAGTTGCACAAAGATACGTGAGGAAGCCTAGCTCACTAACAACATAAAATACAACCTTTGCAAGAAAAGGGCACTAGTATCAACATGGCATGGGGGTTTCACTCCTTATAAAGACTAGTTCCAGGCCCAGTGCTGACCCTGTCATGTAACGGGTTCTTTGCTGTTCAGAAGGCCTTCATTCACTCAGTATATCAACAAGATCTTTTTGTTTCTTGGGTCTGACCAGATGAAAGCTACTGTTCATGGCACTTTTCTAAAAGAGCAGGGACAGCCATTGGCGATCTCTTTCATATACAAATTTTAAAAGACTTTCTAATACAGAATTCTTGTCTAGGGATTAGGGAATCATTTAATTAATATTTAATCATGTACAAGGCAGGATAGATATGTGTCTTATAGGTGAACTAAATAAGGTATCAAATTTAGGCGTGGTTAGCCTAATTTCATCATTTTAAATGAGTATTAAGGGTGTGTATGTGTAGATGTGTGCCCATAATGTGCATTAAATTAGGCTAATGCACATTAACGCATCTCATGTAGACACGCCCATAGATTACAAGCTTTCATGAACTCAAATTCACTTCATCAGATGCACCTGAATTCATGAAAGCTTGCACTCTATATACATTTATTTAGAGTCTTTAAAGTGCATCTCTATCCTGCCTTCTGCTTGACTTCAGACTAAGGTGGCTAACTACCTCTCTACTCATGTACAGTTACTATTGGCTTCTTTGGGAGCTGTGTAGGTGTAACAAGGAAAGAATATGACTCATTGCATATGGCTCTTTAAAGCACCTTGGGATACCTAAAGAATGAAAGTTGTCATACCATGGTAAATACAATATAAAATAAACAAAAGACTTATCATGTTCCCTTTTTATATCCCAGAGTGGCTGAAGACTTACTGATTCAGTCCAGTACTTTATTTTGGAGGGAAATGCTACATTACATAATATATGAAGCCTGACTTGGAAAGACACTGAGCCCTAAATTCAATAGGATACATGGATGTAAATCAGTACTGAAAATTAGGGTACCAGTAAATGTTTTAGCCTAAAGCAAAGTAATCTATGTTTCACAAATAAATGACAGTGTCCCAGCTAAGTACCATTCTGTCTACTTGAGTTTTGCTAATTATTAGCAATGTAATGTTCACCTCAAATCTTATATGTAATTCATGTCTAAAACATGATTGCTAAGTGTGGCATTTGGATGAAAAGCTATGTTTACAAAACTGAGGTGAACAATGGGTGGATTTTCTACCCTACAATGGAATACTAACAAAATCTAGAGCAGACAGAAAATCTTCTAAACACTCCTTGTTTTTATAAATGTTTACCACTGAGAAAGTATTAAGTGATTGTAAATATATATTTTCTTAAATGCAGCACAAACCCAATAATTTCTGTGCTGTTCTTAATGGAAAGAGATTTGTTTTTGTTGAATTACAAATTTCTTCTGATGTTTACCCAGGGGCTAACCCTGGATTTGGAAAAACAGAACTGATTTTTTAAATCATGAGGGAATCATGCATGTTCATTGACTCTCATTTTTACTGTATTCTTTATAAATATGCAGGGGGAAAATCATT